ATATCCCCCCAACACCAGACAGGCGGGGGTCTGTCAGGGGTAGGAGCAGGACCAGGATACTTTAATCCATTAGGGATGCCACCCCAGCAGGATCACCTTAGCGATGCTGCTGGCCCAGCCTCTCTGATGGCTTCCAACACACTCCCCCCACCTCCTACACCTAACAGGTGGTTGTCTGTCAGGTGCAGCAGTGGTTACAGGGTGCTTAAAGCCATGAGGGAGCCTGCCCCAGCAGTCTACAGAGAGGTCGTTCAGTAGAGAGAAAGAAAGTACATATGTCTCACTTCATTTTTTACACTACACTCTTCTCCATTAGAATTCCTACAACAAATGTTACATTTCAAACTTTACATCATCAGTATTATAACTGGATTAATGGAAGGTAAATACCGTAGCGAAGCATGGGTATCATGCTAGTAATAATATAAAAAACATAACCATGTTGATACAATGGGTATACAGACAGATTGAATAATCCTACTAAATACTCAACCCACTCAATTCTAGCCTGCCTCCTTGTGGTGCACCCTGGATAATCCTAAAGAGCTAGAACTTGTGGCTACCAGTCACTCGTAAGATCTCCTATCTACACTACACACATAGGAACATCTAGAACAGAAGTCAACTGACTCCAACGCAAGTCCCTTTCTAAAAGTACTTATAATGGAAAATTATTTAAAGCAAGCAATTGCCCCTGTAAATATTTAAAAGGGGAATTTACTCAAACAGGTGCCAAAGTCAGATTATTAAAACTTATCTAGAAGTAGGGTTTTCTGGAGATGAAAACACTACTTTGTTATGTAGGAAGCCATTTTGAGGAGCTTTATTAGCTCTTCATCAGTCTTGAGAATCCTGAACTTCCGGTACGGCGTCGCGCCGGGAATGGAAAATTATTTAAAGCAAGCAATTGCCCCTGTAAATATTTAAAAGGGGAATTTACTCAAACAGGTGCCAAAGTCAGATTATTAAAACTTATCTAGAAGTAGGGTTTTCTGGAGATGAAAACACTACTTTGATATGTAGGAAGCCATTTTGAGGAGCTTTATTAGCTCTTCATCAGTCTTGAGAATCCTAAGAATCTATATCATTAATCTTTCAGCAGACGTGCTGTGTCTCTATAAAGTCTATACGGTATTTATGACTCCCATAATTTGGGAGGTGCCTAGAAAATGGCTGAATATGTAATTCAAATGTTAAATTACGCCGTAAAAATAATTAAGGATACCTGTTCCAGTAGCTCCAGAACTGATCGTGAAGGTAGGCCTGGTGGCTGCATTCATCGCCAAATGAGGCTTTGCTTTCGATCCAATGAATGGTATGTCCTTCTACAGCTACATAGGAAAAGTTATTATTTTAAAATAAAAACAATCTTTCAAATTTTTGAATAAAAGGAAATGAAATAATTTGCTGATCCTGGCCTAGACCCAATAAAGAGTTCCAGATTAAAACTGTTAATGCTGTTGTCCCCTTGCTTCTTCTGACCTTCATTCTCCACACACTTAGCTGTTTCCAGAGGCACTTCACAGTCCTAGGTGCCAGCACACACCTCTCTAGATGGACCTTCATCTCAAAAAATACCTGGTTACAGCTCTGAACTGTTCAGCCATAGGGTCTTATTTCTTGGCTACAAGAAACTGATATATGCTTCATATTGAGTTAGAATTGCCAACAGGCCTGGAGAAAAATGTCCTGTCCCTTTAATAAAGGCTTAATGTATGAAAATGGCAGCTGAAGCTTTTCATGGCATGGGCATAAAGAGGAAAAGAAGAAGAGATTGGATTTATATCCTGCCCTTCACTACCGAAAAGAGACTCAGAGCAGCTTGCAATCCCTTTTGCTTCCCCTCTCCACAGCAGACACCCTGTGAGGTAGGTGGGGCTGAGAGAGCTCTCTCGAGAACTGCCCTTGAGAGAACAGGTCTGAAAGAATTTATGACTGACCCAAGGTCACACCAGCAGCTACATGTGGAGGAGTGCGGAATCAAACCCGGTTCTCCCAGATTAGAGTCTGCAGTCTTAACCACTACACCAAACTGGCTCTCTAAATAACATAAGCTAGAAAATAACATCCCATTATGCCTCTAGTAAATGGATTGACATTTTTCCCATGCAGTTGGTAACCCTATACTGAGCCAGTACTGTATACTCTGGCAGATCTCTAAAACCTCAGGTATAGAACTTTCCTGAGATCTCTGGTGATGCCAGGCTTTCCACATACAAAGTATCAGATACAGGACATCCCACATACTTTATTCAAACTTAGGTCTGGGATGGTTTCCTTTTGGTTTACATTGGTTAACCTAAGTACAGAACTTCCAAAATGAATCCCTCAAGTAGTTTATCATTGATAAATTATTGATTTATATCACTGATATAGTGATAGTATATTTTGTGTTTACATACTTAATTTATTTTGGGGTTGATGCTTTACTATTTCAGTTTCATAATTTCTATTGTATTGCACACAATTTTGGGTGTTCTACAGAAAAACTATCAATACATATTTTTTAAGGATCTATATTCTTGGTAGGAACCATGGGAAAGTGGAAGAAAAGAACTTGGGAAAAGGCTAAAACAAAGGCTATTTTGTTGTTCAGTCGCACAGTCGAGTCCGACTTTTTGTGACCCCATGGACCAGATCACGCCAGGCCTTCCTGTCTTCCGCCATCCTCTGACGTTGGCTCAATTTCATGTTCGTTGCATCTATGACACTGTCTAACCATCTCATCCTTTGCCATCCCCGTCTTCTTTGACCTTCAATCTTTCCCAGCATCAGGGTCTTCTCCAGGGAGTGCTCCCTTCTCATTTGGTGGCCAAAGTATTTGAGCTTCAGTTTCATTATCTGGTCTTCCAGGGAACAGTCAGGGTTGATTACTTTTAGGATTGACTGATTTGATCTTCTTGCAGTCCAAGGGACTCTCAAGAGTCTTCTCCAGCACCATAGTTCAAAAGAATCTATTCTTCGGCGCTCGGCCTTCCTTATAGTCCAACTCTCGCAGCCATACATGACTACTGGGAATACCATTGCTTTGACCGTGTGGACTTTTGTTGGCAGGGTGATGACTCTACTTTTTATCATGCTGTTTAGGTTCGCCATCACTTTCCTCCCAAGGAGCAGGCGTCTTTTAATTTTAATTTCATGGCTGCTGTCACTGTCTGCGATGATCTGGGATCTGAACTGTAGTGATGGAATATTCACTTTACAGTCATTTCCTCGTACTTTATTTATAGTGTTAGGGAAATGGTAGTTTGAGGTCTTACTGTAAAATCTTCGTTAGTTCTAGAATAAAGCTTACAGTGCAATTCTAAGCAGAGTTATATCCTTCTAAGTCAACTGAAGTCAATGTGCTAAGAGAGGTGTTCTCAGTTTAGGACTGCCCTCTTAGAGACATAATAAAGTTGCACTATGACATTCCTTATTCTTCATTCTTGCAGCCTTGCTCTATAGACCGACTCTCAGCTTTAACACTGCAGTCGACAGAAAGAAAACTAGAAGCTGTGGACAGTATACACTAGGCAGGATGCAAAGAGATAAACACTAGCAAGAATGTAAGCTCCTGCAGAATTCTTTTCCCTGCTATGATTATGGCTTGTTTATCATTTGAATTGGGATACAGGGCACATTCTATCAGAAATCCAGACATGAGACTCTCCTCTATAGGTTCCTCCTTTCGACTGGCAAAATGGATCACCATTATTACCTGTATCTGTTTTTGACATCGCCATGGTAACTGCTCCAAGTATTTGTTCAATCTGCAAGTGCTGGCCTCATTGGCCCACCATGATGACATTAGAACCTACAGCTGAATTCTTAGATGACATCCCTGAATTCATTGCCATCACCACAGAGAGGAAAGCAAGTGGTATTATGGAACTTATGGACAGTATATTTTGTAACAGAAATGATGCCTCTGTGAATTAATCTTGACCTGGATTAATAATTTGCCCAACCTGATCATCAAAATACAATAAAGTCCAGTGGTCATAAGAAAGAAGATTTCATCCAGCTGACCACTAACGTCACTGATAATACACTTTGTGAATTCAAACTCACACACCTGGCTGCAAGAAAATTCAAGTAATGTGAGAAAGCACAATCATCATACTGAGGACCTGAATTCTACAGTGCGTCAAGTCAAAGGTATCAATGCTTAGTGACTCTTTTAATGCAGATTAAAAGACAAATGCAATTAATAGCTAGATCTAATAAAACAGTGTTATTTTTCTGCAATAGTGTGTGGAATTCTAGTAAGGGGGCCACAGATGAGTGGCTTTGACCTAACTATCATTTATAGGATGCATCTTTTGTTCCCACAGTGCAACTGATTATCTGCACCATGATTATCTGCACTTCTTTCACTAACAGCTATCGCAAAGATTGCTGCCATATACTCCTTTTTGACTATTTGCCATGCAGATCTTTCTTCTAGCTTTGCTTCTGTAAGTTTAGTCAGATGTATTTATGAATAAAGAGATGAAATCTATAATCAAAGAAATTAACAGAGTTGGATTTTCTCCCCCAGCCCTATTGCTTTACAATCTGGCGAAAGCCTGGGCATTAGTCAAGCAAATGTATTGTGATACAGACCTTGTTCACCTTTAGATATGGACATAAACTTCCCAGCATTAAGAAATGTGCAAGCTATCTAACAACTCTAAGTATACTAAAATATAGGACAGCCTTTAAGTTAGTACATTGCAACATTTTGCCAGCAGCAATACTTGAGGGCCATTGTAGTTCTATTCCTTTAAACCACTGATCATGTCCTTATGCTTCAGGGATATTATAGAGCGAGCTAGGGATGATGTAATTGCTCCACTTCTGACTAAGATACCAGGCCTCTTAGCGGTACAGCTAGTTACCATTCTTCTTGTGGGACAGAGTGTGCACACCAGAGAAAAAGTAACAATAGCTTTTAATATAGCGGTTGAGACGCAGCCCTGGGTGTCAAAATAACTCTGTTAATCAGAATTGTTTGCTATTCTGTATTAATGACTGTATTGTAAAGATCTGTTCACCACACAGTAAAGCTGCTTCTTATATTTTTAAAAAAAGATATTAAGAGTGGCAAGATGTTTCAGAAATGACAGTTCAAACTACCTCAGGGTGGAACAGTGTTTTAGATCTTAGCCTAGAATAAAGAGAAGATTTTAGGATGTTCTTCTTGGCCGTACAGCTTACAAATTTGATAATATCCACAAGATTTGTTCAGAGAGGAGGTTTGTCAGTCAGCTTCGGAGCTAATTTTTGAATTGCTAGTTGCATTAATGCCTCTTTTCCATAAAAAAATTCTTAGAGGAACTGGTTCATTATTGTGAATGCTTAATATATTGTGATGCTGTGTCTGGCATAATACTATTAAGACTGTTAGTATTTCAGTATAAACAGATTTACTCATGAAAGCTAAAAACCTCATGGACTTACCAACTGGCACTTCTAATATGAAGTCTGGTGTTTTGTCATAACCCTTTGCGCGTAGCTGATCTTCAGCTATATAAAGAAAGTCAGAAATAATGGTTTTATTCTATTAATCAGACAACAGAATTAATTTTCTTTTAAACATAGGTATAAGAGTTCCTAATGTACTCATACATATCTCTTCTTATGCATGCAGTGCTGTGTCAGATTAAATGAACCTTCTTAGCAAACCTGAAACATGAATATAAAAATGCTTCTTTGTCATCTCTGCATTTTTATGTCTTCATTATAAACACCATTAATTCAACCTGTCACACTGTAGTTTGTTACTGAAAAAAATATTGGAAATAAAGAAATATTTCAGCTGATTGGATCTCTATTTGAAAAACAGGTTGCTTACCTGTAACTGATGATCTTCGAGTGGTCATCTGTGCATTCACACCTCTGGGATATAGTGCGCCTGCGCCAACCTCGATCGGTTCCTCTTGAAAGCAAAAGGGATTTTCGTGCCCACTCCCTAGTCACGCGCGGGCCCCACTGAGCATGACCAAGGGAGGGGCATGACAATCCTGCCAGTTCCTTCTGACCACCGCCATCAGTCTCAGAGTAATAAAAAGGAGAGGACTGAAAGCAGAGGGGAAGGACGGCGGGCGGTGTGAATGCACAGATGACCACTCAAAGGTCATCAGTTACAGGTAAGCAACCTGTTTATCTTCTTCGTGGTCTCTGTGCATCACACCTCTGGGAGATTAGCAAGCAAAAAACAGGCCTACCTGGAGGAGGGAGCTGAAGGTCCTAGACTTGCGCCACCTGCAACACTGCCCATCCCACCATGGAACATTGATGAAGACTCATATCCAGGGCGTAATGCTTCACGAACGTGTGAGGGGTAGCCCAGGTTGCTGCTTGACAGATGTCAGTGAGTGACGAACCTCTCAGCAAGGCTGTGGACATGGCTACTGCCTGGGAAGAGTGTGCTCGGAGCGGGTCCAGAAGTGGCCATTAGGCCAGTAAGTAGCACAGTTTGATGGCTTCCACAATCCACTTGGATAGACGCTGCGAAGAGAGCTTCTTCCGCTGCACAAATGTGTTATAGGAGACAAACAAGGCTGGTGACTGACGGAATGACCTTGTTCTATCAAGGTAGAAGAGTATGGCTCTCTTGACGTCCAAAGTATGAAGACAGCATTCCTCATCGCTCGTAGGGGATGGGAAAAATGTCAGAAGAGCAATGTCAGCTTGCAAATGGAACTCTGAAACAACCTGGGGCAGGAAAGAGACATCCGGGGCCAAGGTGACACCATCATGGTGAAAAACCAAGTACGGAGAATCGCAACGAAGTGCAGACAATTTGTTCACTCGTCTTGCTGAGGTGATGGCTACTAGGAAGGCAGTCTTCCACGAGAGAAGCTGCAGACTAGATGTGGCCATGGGTTCAAACGGTTTGCCCGTTAACTTGGACAGTACTAGAGGTAAGTCCCAGGAGGGAGTCGACCTACAAGCCACAGGAAAGAGGCAAGTGAGGCCCTTCAGAAACTGCTTCATTTGCGGGTGAGAAAAAATGGAATAGCCGTCCATCACAGGATGATTGGTGGAGATGGGGGCTAGATAGATTTTTAAGGAGGAGCAACTAAGACCCAAGTCCAGGCAGATCAACAAGAATCCAAAAATTACTCTCAAGTCCGTAGGGGGCTGTGGTAAACCCAACGACTCAAGGTAAGACAGGAATTTCTTCCACTTCCCTTCATAGGAAGCACGTGTAGCTGGCTTCCGACAGTTCAACAGAATAAGGTCTATCCTGTGTTTGAGTTGTGTTAGGGGATCTTCCACGCTCTGAATTTGAGGTGTGGTACATCGTGGTGAAGCACTCGGCCCTGCTGAGCCAGGAGGAGATCTGGTGCTGGGGGGGGATGTATGTAGGTGCCCTGGGACATGTGGAGTAGAGTCTGGAACCAGTTCCAACGTTGCCACCATGGTGCCACGAGGATGCATTGAGGTTGTTCCTTCATGATTTTGCTTAGCACTTTGATAAGTAGATGAATTGGTGGGAACAGGTACATGTGCCTATGGGACCATGGGAAAAGAAGGCCGACCCCCAGGGACAGTGGGTCCTGTCCTGCCCTGGTACAGAACAGATGACACTTCACGTTCTGACATGTCACAAATGCATCACTTTCTGGGCGACCCCATCTGTGAAAAATTGGTTCAAGGTAAGCCCAGTTGAGTTCCCATTCATGGAAGGACGTGCCCCCCCACTCAGAAAGTCCGCATGCACATTGAGCGATCCTGGCAGGTGAGCAGCAATGATGAACACACCCCAAGACTGACATTCGGTCCAAATCTCCAGGGCCAGTTGACAAAGTCCCCTGGACACTGTCCCGCCTTGCCTGTTCAGGTAGCACAGTGCGGTGGTGTTTCCTGTCAGGATTGCCACTCTATAGTGAGCCACGAGGTCACGAAAGGACCTTAGGACAAAATGGATGGCGAGCAATCCCAGGAAGTTGATGTATTTGTGGGCCACATGAGGTTCCCATCTGGTGCCCACACACACACCTTGGAGGTGAGCCCCCCATCCCCATAAGGATGCATTCGTGGTTAGGGTCATTTCAGGGCTGGGTGCAAGAAATGGGGCTCCCTGAAGGAGGCTGTCTGGAGTTTCCCACCACTGTAGGGAATTCAGCACTTGCACTGGTAGCACGAACCGTTGAGATTGGAGCTGCCACTGTGGATGGAAATGCTTGAGGAACCACAGCTGAAGTGGTCTCATCTGTAGTCTGGCAAAGACAAGTACTGCTGTGGTGGCAGCCATCAGATCCAAGAGCTGTTGGATCTGCTTTGCTGATGCATCTCCCTGTGTTCTTATCAGGTTGATGAGAGCGATAATGTCTCCCGCCCTCTTGGGAGGGAGAAAGGCTTGGCAGAAAGTCGAATCCAAAATCGCTCCAATAAACTGAACTCTCAATGAAGGAAGGAGCATTGACTTTTTTAGGTTCACACTCAGGCCCAATGCATCTAGGGTGACCAGCGTCAAATCGATATCGTTGAGCAGAGTCTCTTTGGAGCTTGCTATCAACAACCAATCGTCTATGTATGGAAAGATCCATACACTCTGGAGATGGAGGTACGCCGCGATGACAATAATCATTTTGTAAAGACTCTGGGCGCCGTTGAGACTCCAAAAGGGAGGGCTTTGTAATGAAAATGGCCTTCTGGGACCGCAAAACGTAAAAACTTCCTGTGAGATGGGTGGATAGTTATATGAAAATATGTGTCTTGCAAGTCCAGGGTTACCATCCAGACATCTTCGCTGAGAAGGGGGAGAATGCTTTGTAATGTTGTCATTCGGAATATCTGATAGGAGATAAACCGGTTGAGTCCCCTGAGGTCCATAATAGGATGGAGGCCGCCGTCTTTTTTTGGGGATCGTAAAATAACGGGAGTAGAACCCATGTTGACATTGTGCTGCCAGGACTGGTTCTGTAGCATCCTTTTGAAGAAGGTTCTGGATTTCTTCCAGAAGCGAACTGGATGGTGGGGTAAGTATGAAGTTGGGGGCCTCGGGTATCTGGATAAATTATATGAGGTACCCTTTTTTGATGACGGAGAGTACCCACCAGTCTGAAGTTATTCGCTGCCAGGCAGCCAGGTAGGGAGACAGGCGGGGAGGGGTGGGACGACAGGAGTCAAAGGCTCTGCTTGGGTGCTTTCGGAGTCTTATCCCTAGGCTGAGCGGTGGATTAGAATTTTGGTTGGTGTCCGTAAGGGCAGGAAGACAGAGTGGGGGAACGTTGCCACTGTGTTTTCAGGGACGACTTTAGAGAAGATCTGCAAGACCATGGCTTGTTCCAGTATTTCGCTTTGGATAGTTTAGGAGCCGACGTGACTCCTAAATTCTGTGACATCTTTGCTCTTGTCTAGGTTTTGTGGGACCGTATCAGTCGTGGCACTGAAGAGGCCCTCACCCTCGAATGGGAGGTCTTCAATGAGAGCCCTGCACTGTCCTGTGGTAAGGCAGCGGAACGCAACCAGGCATGTCGTTGGAGGGTAACTGCTGAAGTCAGCGTTTTGGCAGCCACATCCAGTGTGCGTTTAGCTGCATTGAGCTGCTTGGCTAGAAGCATTCCCTCCTTTTGAATCCTGCGAGCCTGATGGTTACAATCCTCAGGGAGGGTTGCAATAAACTCGGACATCTGCTCTCAGAGAGCAAACTGGTATCTGCCCATACATGCAGTATAGTTTGAAGTCTTGATGCCAAGTGCTCCAGCAGAATAACATTTTCTTCCAAACGAATCAATTTTCCTCCTTTCTTTCTCGGGAGGGGTGGAATGACTGCGTCTGCCTTTGGAAGAAAAGGTGACTATAATGGAATTAGGTTTAGGGTGGTTAAATAAAAATTCAGCACCTTGCTCCTGCACCTTATACATATGATCTATTTTCTGGCTCGAGACGTGAAGATGCCGGGTGAGACAATGGGGTTTTAGCTGCCTGAAGCAGGACCGACGTCATTGGTAAGGCTATCGGGGTAGAGGTGTCCATCTGTACGATATAGAACACAGAGTCTGTTACAGTAGGAGGGGTTTGCACCGTAGAGAGGGTCAACGTGTTTGCCATCCGTTTGATAAAGTCCCCATAAGATTTGAGATCCTCTGATGGCAAAATTGGAAGATCATCACCCACTTGTTGAGGTGGTGAGGGTTGTATCTGAGGATCGGGGTTTTCATCTCCCGATTGGGAGGAGGTGTCGAAAGAGATGGAATGTTCAGACAGTTCGGAAAAGGAAATAGGCAACATTGGTGTCAATGGGACTGGGTCCGATGGCCCTTTAAACTTGGGAACTATCAGAGGCAGTGGTTTGGAAGGTTTGCCCATCAGTCTTGATGGCTGAGGCCACATAAACTCTGGCATCGGTGGAGGATCTTGATACCGAGAGAGCCAGGAGGAGGTAGACTGACGGTCCCAATCCACGGGTTGGGGTGGGAACCACGGCATGCCACTCGAGAATGGATAGGTCCCATACATGTATTGTCATTGCCCCTGATCCCAGGGGGTGGTGGTGAGTGGATCAGTGCCGA